GAATATTCTTCAATAGCTTCCAGGTCATGTGACCCACTGACTTCAAATTAGTGTCAAATTACTCAGCTAGTCTGGACAAATGAGGCACACCAATTAATTTTCGCATTTTGCATATTTTTTTATGAATTATTATATTCATAAATTATGAACATTCTTCAATAGCTTTCAGGTCATGTGACCCACTGACTCCAAATCAGTGTCAAATTATTCAACTACACTTGACAGATAAGGCACACCCTTTATTATTACATTTTATCTTTTGTAATAATTTTTATGATTATTTATATTCATAAGTTATAAATATTCTTCAATAGCTTCCATGTCATGTGACCCAGTGACTTCAAACCAGTGTCAAATTACTCAGCTATTCTGGACAAATGAGGCACACCAATTGATTTTCAATTTGAGCCTTTGCATATTTTTTATGAATTATCATATTCATAAATTTTGAATATTCTTCAATAGCTTCAAGGTCATGTGACTCACTGACTTCAAATCAGTGTCAAATTATTCAACTACACTTGACAAATGAGGCACACCCTTTTTTATTACACAATAAAGAGAATACCAAAACAACATAATTTCAAAAAGCTCAACCAACACCAGGTACTAACTGGCTAAACACAGTTACCAAGAAAACGGTCGGCAGCAGATCCGGCTGGGTAGCAAAAGAGTCAGAAGTTAAAGCTACCAAAACAAACTGACGGCTAGATGAATGCACAAGAATTACTGACTGCATGGTACGACGGTCTGGCGTCAGAGCATGGTCCGGCTGCTTGCTCAAATCCAGGTCAGCTGACAGGTTGCAGCAGAAATGGACCAATCATGTGGCGCCAATCAGTAGATTAGTTATGTGAAACACCTGTCTGCATGCTCCGCCGCCAGCCGTGCCTGAGAGAGTGTGTCCGAAATCACCCACTCACTCCCTACTCCCTATATAGTGATCACTATATAGTGCACTATGTAGGGCATAGAGAGTGATTTCGGACACAGCCAGAGAGAGAGAGAGAGCCAAAGAGAGCCAAAGAGGGAGGAAAAACAGGACCCAGCCGCCACTAGCCGGCACCTGAAGTCAAGGGCATGAGACCCAACAATCCAAAGTAGTCTTTGGACTCCCTCTGAGCAAGCGGCTTTCCTCTCTGTTTTTCTTTGATTGCTTCAAACATTTGGGTTTTTGTGGACACTAACAATAAAAAAAAAGTTAGAGTGGACCAAAATGTTCCAAAATGGAAGATACACTCATTGCTTCCAGGTGAACTTGCTGAAGTACCTGCATATAATGCATTTTGCATTTGAATGGATCATCATAGCAGAAAGGGTGCTTTTCCTTAATTATATTTACTTCAATATGTAATTCCAAATGAGCACATCTC